CCGCGCGCCAATGGGAGGGAGGAGCGCGGGCCGGGCCGGGAGCGGGGAGAGGCCGCGCTGGAGAGAGCCGGGAGCCCTCGGGACGCGCGCCTGGCAATGGGCTCCAGGATGGCCCCGCGGGAGCAGGGAGGCTGGACCAGAGCACCCACTGCGGCCCCTTCCAGCCCGAAACATTCTGTGATCACAAAGGATATCTCATTCTGAAGCCTTTCGGCACTACCTAAAAACAGAGGCCAGACAAAATTAAGAGCATAAAAAGGTTATATTTATTGAAGGGCCTCCGGGTGCATTTAGGGCAGACGAACCCACTCTCCCAGGGGCTACACCCAAAAATGGACCACGGGTCACGGGTTTCCATACTTTGCTAAGTTTGGTCTCTTTGCATATTGGGGGTTAATCTAATTACAGCTTCAGGTAATGAAGTCATACCCAAGTTTGAGATTCCCCCGCACCCCTCTACCTCCCCCAACTCACTTCTGTTTACATTTTGCATGGCCTGAAACACTAAGGTGTCCTTCATTCCCAGCCCTGGAGAGGAATTGTTTCATTTGACCAAAATGGGGAAGCTGTAGCTCACGCTCTACATGCAGTTTAGAGTTACACACTAAAGAATTGCAGGATTACATATATGTGAAAAATTATAAAAGCTAAAATCCTAAGGTATCAATTCCAACCCCACTGCCAAGGACACCTCTCAGTGTACCAGGTTGCTCAGAGCGCTGTCCAGCCTGGCCTGGAACACTTCAGAGTTAGGACATCACAGCTTCTCCAGGCATCCTGTGCCAGTGCCTCACCACCTTCACAGTAAAGAATTTCTCCCTCATCTCCAATCTAATTCTACCCCCTGTTTCTGGGGACCTACTCAAACAGCCAAAGCATGGAGTTTTGGGACTACGTACCATCTCTGGGCAACTTTTCCCATTATTTGATGGCACAGTGATAAAGTTTTCTTACATGTAAATTACCTGGGGAAAAAATATATATATTTCCTCACTCCTATGTGATTAAGATTTTACAACCTGTTTTTCTACAAGCCATGGAGATGTGAACTTCTACCTTTTTCCTTTTGTTTTCAATGCTCTTTAAAATTGTCTGTAATCAAAATTATAAATGGAAATACTAATTGGAAAATTTCAGATTTTCTCAGAATAACTTCCTTCAGATAGAAACAGTGATATTTGGCCTAGAAATATTTAAATATCACATTTAAAAATTTTTCTTCAGCACTCCTGTTGGAGTAGGGACATAAGTTCCTTACTTTAGCTGCTTCTCTTACTTCCTTTTTCTTAAAAGAAAGGAAATACATATGCTTTGGCTTCTTTGTTAAATATTTTCCTACTTTCTCTTTTTAATTACAGCGTATAATTTTTAATAGCCTTTTCTATGTTTTTATAATTTAGCAAAACATTTTTAAGAAAATGTATGATAAGTTGTTGTTCACCCATCTTTTCAATAATCTGCTTGTATTCAATCCCTTTAGTTTATACACATAAAATGTGTTCGGAGTGGCTTTGAACATCATATGTGTTAATGTCTATTGTTTTTTCTTTTCTTTAAGCATAATGGAGAACTTGTATTTCAAATTACATTTTATGTGCTAAATTTTCACAGTCTTCATTCATTTAAGCCACAAATGTCATTTAGTGCTGCAACAACTAGTTGTCTTAGATTTCATTGTAATATTCCTTTAATTTAAAATGCACTTTTCCTTGTAAAACCAGCTGTTTTTCCCCTTAATAATAGAAGTCTTTAAGAGCTCAGCAGTTGTTTTGATAAATAAAATAGACCAAAGCGTGTGGAGAAATAAAAAAGTAATTCAGATTAAGTATTCTATCATATATCAAAAGCAAAATTGGCAGCCTGGATTTTCATGCTTATCTGTTTCATTTTCATCATTCCATTTCCTCTGCTGCTGTTGAAGTGGAACATAGTGACTTTTTCACATCTGTTTCAAATAATCACCCAGTGGTTCTTTTTATAACAAAGATGAAACTCAGTTTGTGTATTCCTAACATTTTTCCATGTGAAAGTGTGGGAGTTCCATTTATAAATGTAGTGCATATAATTGCATCATCTAACTTTGATTCTAAGGGTAAGTTTTTAGGGAATCAGCAGCTTAACTATCTGACATCTTACTTATTTCTTGAGTCCTAATGATGGTCTGAACATATTACTAACAAAAGCTGCACAAGAGCTGTTTCCTGTGTCCTTGGCACAAGAGAACTCAGAGAAATTTTAAAATGAAAGATGGTATTTTGAAGCAATAGATTCTGTTGCTAGAATGACAGGTACAAAGTGAGTAGTAACAGAAGAGCTATTTGGTGTTTCAGAATACAAAATAATGTTAGCACCCGAGAGACCATGTCGAAGTTACTAGAACTGTTACATGAACTTTTGGGACATAGATATTTCACATCATTCACCAAACACAGAAATTATATTTTCTATGTTGATCTCAAAATAAATACTGCAGCACTATTTCAGTAGTGAGCTTGTGAACTCCTCTAAAGTTTCTGAACATTTTTAATTCTTGGATCTTTGCTTCTGTTTTCCATGCCTTGATTTACTCTTTTAGTTTGCAGGTAACCGTCTCCACATTTGCATCTTTGTCTGATAGCAGCATCTTTATTTGTAAGTGATACAGAATATTTGTTTAGTTCTGAGGCTGTAGCTAGGTGATCCTAGGTGAATCTCTTCATCACCATTGCATAACAAGTGATTTTTATATTTTCTTGTTTCTTGTAATTGATATGGTTAAATAAACTTACACATTTAAACGGCCAAATCATTAAGGATCTAATTCAGCTTGACTTTCATCAAGTCTCATTTTAATCCTACATCCTATCCTTTGGCTTCTCAGACGTTGCTCGCACTTCTGATCAGTTCCTGTTATATTCCTTGTAAGATCTTCTTATTTCTAATGTGAATTTATATGCAAAAATTGCTTTCATGCTGTTGTATATCAAACTATTTTTAGCAATTTCTCTTCATGGACGATGTATAATTTTTTTTTTTTTCTCTGCTCTGACTGCAGAGTACTCCAAGTTTGCTCTATGAACAAGCCTCTTGAGTTCTTTAAGAAATTTTAATTATGTGGAAATTTTGAACAGTGAAAGCTCCATTTTGAACTTTCTTCTTTAAAGAGACATTAAAATTCATAAGAGATCAAGTTATACCAAGGTTAGTTAATATTTTTTTAGTTATTAACTGGAAGCTCTTTTTTCCCTAAAACTTTGTTATGCTTTTTCATATTTGATTCCTGGAAGGCTGCCTTTTTTGTTTAGTTTGTGTTAATCTCTGAGATTTGTTGTATTTATGTCATGTCTGGACAAGGGGAACTAGCCAAAATAACTAAATCTTTTCAGGAATACAGTAACACCGAAATATTACTGGACTTTTGTATACTGCAATGTGATATTAACACTGGGCTTAATTATTGTCATGTAAATTATTAATTTAGTTATATAAGTCTAGTGCTGCTCTCCCCTTTACTGAAAAAGAGGAAGTATATATTCTGTCATTGCCATTTTTAATGTTATTACCTGTTTGGGTTATGATTACTTAAACTTGCAGAAACTTGATGAAGTCTAGAAGACTGTTTCAGATGTAGTGTTGTACTTCTCCCTGCCATGATGCATACCTGGTAGTATTGCTTTATCTGATTTTTGGTAAGAGAAGAAAACATTCATTACATAGGGAGTTTGAAGATGGAGTTCAAACTTCTCAGTCTGTGTAAAATATATATATCTTTGTAAATATTCCAAATTATAGAGATTCAGCAGCATGATTGTTGAAGCCATAGGCACAGGTTGCAAAACTGTTTCCTCCAGCCTTAAGTACTCTACTGAAAATTATTTTGTTTGCACAGATCATACTTTTTTTCTTTGTATATGTTGGGATTATAACTTAATTTTATACAATTTCATGTTAAAAACATAATGCAAGTTACTGTATTCAAATGCCATTTATTTTCAGGGTGAAAAGGGTTCAGAGGATACAGTAGGTCTAGTTGGCCCACCAGGTCTTTCACCTTGGTCATTCATTAATTGAGGCATTCAAAATAAATAGCCTGTTAAGTAAGGAAAGTGACTCTTTTTTTGATGGCAGAATGGCCTTTGTCAACTGCTTGGGTAAGAGTGAAAAAACTCTGGTTTCACTTACTCCATTAATGGTAGTGATGGTGGCTGTACTTATTATTCAGTGGGATGCATAGAAGTGTGAGCAAGGGAAATTGGAATAAACAGAACAAGAATTTCACAGGTACATTCATTTTCTTCTGAAGGTAACTACTGCAGTTTATTAATTGAAAAACTGATCTGTGGAAGTTTAGGAATTAGTGTCCTAACTAATCTTTTCAGTGTACAGAGGCTCCTGAAAGAATACCTGGACCAAATGGATTGAAAAGTTTGAGTGTTCAAAGTCCAAAGGTAACCCATGAAAAAAATCCTAATTTTAGAAGGATAGAGCAGGGGATATATGTGACAGAGGACAAGGCTTTTTATATATTAGAGCTTTTATTCTTCTAGGAAAACTCATGAAATGAAAGACAACTCTTCAGTTTTGATCACTGTAGGCTGTTAGAGAGAGAACTCAAGTCCTATCATATGTTAAGAAGCAACATAGAGGATTTACAAAGGATTGTTTAAAGAATTTGAAAATTAAATATGCTGATTTTTAAGAATATTCTATGTTACTGAGCCTGACCAAAGTCCTTATTCAAACTGAGAATTTTTTGTAGCCACAAAATGGCTACACAATGGATGATGTAATGGCTACACATTTGGCCATCTCTGCTTTAAGCTGTTAGTGAAGTAAAACATTTACACAAATAATTCTAAATTGGAATTTTGGGTGGGTTTTTGTGTTGTGGGTTTTGTGGATTTTGGTTTGGTTTGGAGGTTTTTTTGTTTGTTTTTTTCTCCTTTTGGGGGTAGGGGATATGTGTTTGTCTTTTTTAGGAACAACAAAGTGAGCCTGGTCCAAATGGAAACTGTGGAATTTCAGGAATGGGACTGCCAGGAAGTAAAGTGAACCTGTTTTAAACAGTTACCATTTTAATCCTTGTTTTTTTATAAATATAAGTAATAACTTACCTTATTACTAGGGCCAGTGCTACCTAAGGGACATAACAAGACTGTCATTCACATCTCTGACAACCTAGAACTGTACTTCAGTAGTTCATACTGCTTTGCCAATACATTGACTTTTAGCTTTCATTAACTTTGCAGTACTCAGAAGATCCCCATGATGTACTGGTGCTCTTAATTTGTGTATCTAAAAGAGAGGAATGTGTGAAATGGGTATTTAGAATCTCAGGATCAGGTAGGAACTAAGGAGTAAAACCAGTTCTTCTAGGACATGTCCTCCCTCCTCAGTGTTGTATTTTAGTCTTTTAATATCTTGGTCTTCAGTTTCCACCTTCTATTACAAGGTTTAAAATGTTTTGCCCAGACAGTAGCCTCCTTTACTTGGTGTGTATAAATGATAAATGCTGAATGAGTCACCTGGTGATAATGATAGTGAAGCACTATTATTACTATCATTATGCATTATCTTGTAGATACACCAGAGGGCAGGATTTAAATAGCATAAATATCTTCATAGCTTAAATATTCAGCAACTAAGTGGTCCTTTTGATACACTTATTGCAGTCTGGTTTCAAAAAGACAAGTAATCGCAACTTTGCTTGCAGCGTATGAATAACAATGGCACTAAGTCAGGATATATCTAGTTCTAGGAACAGTAATTTTAAAATCTATTTAAATATTTATTTCAAATTGCACCTACTAGTGTTGTCTCCTAGCCAGAGAACAAAATATCTACTATTCTTTATATTAATTATTGTCATTCTTATTAAGTGAAGAGCTCCCCAGGGCAAAAAATATAAATTTAAGGCAGTGAGTTTTGATTGATATCATCGAAAAAACTGGCCCATAGTGTAAGTCCTCTGACATTTTACATTCATGTACTCTAGAATACTCACCTTCTTTCATACTTGTATAGATCGTATCCCATTGGCATTCAGTTGTGGCTTTGCAAGCAACAGAATAATAATTTACTTTGTCTTCATACAGAAGCTCTCTCTTGTCTTTGTCAACTCTCTCTTCTTTTTATTCCTTCTTTACCATCTTTGAGTTTCAGTAATGAGAAGAGCAGGAAGTATTCAAGGAGGGCAGGTATGTACCAGGAACAAAAGCTATACATTATTTTTCCAGTAGAACAGATGACTTAGTATGTATGCAGGAACTAAAGGCTTTTTTACTTAAAATTCACTAGCAACATAAAACGAGTTGTACAGGTAAAACTTTGTATTGCAGACTAGAACTTGGGTATGGTCATGTAATGGGTGGATTTAGACAGATTCAGTAGTCTTGGCAGCAGAATATGTTGAGCATCTGGTTTAGAGTATGTGGTTCAGGGCAGCCATTGCAACACTGCTGTACTGAAAAGCTTTGCAGGAAATATTAATGTTAAAACAATGCTGTAAATCTGGACTCGTTACTTCCATCAAATTTGATTTCTAAGTGAATACAAAACTATGAAAATATATACTAAAAAGACTAGGGGAAAAAAAAAAAAAAGGCTCTGAATTGTAAATCAACAATCCTGTTGTGGAACTGTCAAGATTCTTACTGTACTTCCAAACCACAGTAAGAAGGGATGATGAGCTTAGGCTGTTTCCAGAGACCAGTTACAGACCAACATGTAACAGATTTATGGATGTTCCAGCCAGAGAAATACAACCAAACTTGAGCCTATTACTGTCCAACTATATATAGCATGTGCATCAGAACTACCAGGGTTCATGTATATTTGACTAGTCAAATTGTTATGTCTAAAAATCGTGTTAACATTTTCTGATATCTGCCAGATGAGAGTCATAGTTGCAGGATTCCCAAAAAAAGTGAGAAATCTTTGAACACATCTGGAAATCCATTCATTCAATTCTGTTTTGGCACACTGTGAAGATAAAACTTGCCATCTGCTGGAAAAGGCTTTTTTTTCCCCCTATAGCTGTTGATGCGATAGGCTGTTTACAGTCTTGATCTAAGCATGCATAAGGGTAAGAATAAGTATGTGAACAGTATGAGTGATCTGTATGACTAATTTGTTGCTAATGAAATATTTGATCATCACCAGTGTCTCTAATATAACAGATGCTGGATGCTAACAATTATTATCATTTGCACTATCATTATCAATAGCACTAACAAATATTTAGTGTAAAATTCTGTATTCCATTGAAATTCTTTGTTTTCCATGTGTGTAATGAAGGCAAAATTTACTTAATGAAGACAATTAACTTCAATAAAGATGACATATATTTGACAGGAAACAATGTAGAAGTTTTTGGAAGGAAGCTGCAGCTGCTGGCCCAGCAAATCCTTCCTCACTTGAACAGGGTGAAGAGTGTGAGCAGTAGTAATGGGTAGGCTTTTTTTCTGTTAGCAGCATGTTCCTTCAGTACATTTCATGTTAACAGTATGAACAGACTGGCAGATCTGTGTAGGAGTGGTACTGTGTAGTCATAGGGCAAAGGTACAGCTCTCACATAGAACCTGTCATGGCTTAACCTCAGCCATCAACTTAGCACTGCACAGCCTCTTGCTTATTCTCCACCCTCAGCAGGATAAGAGGAACAGAATCAGAAGGCTAAAAATAAGAAAACATATGGGTTGAGAGAAAAACCATTTATTATTTTTTTTCTATCTATTTTACCTAACCTTTTTTAATTAACCTATTAATTTTTTAAACCAATAACAATAATAATAATATTGTAATGAAAAGGAAAACAGCAAGAGAAATAAAACCCAACCAGTGTTGCAAATTAAAACAATTGCTCACCATGAGCTGGTGCATACCCAGCCAGTCCCTAAGCCATGGCCCCAAAAACAAGCTTCCTCCAGTTTTTCATCCTGATCATGATAGCATATGATCTGGGATATCCCTTTGGTCAGCTGTCCTGGCTGTGTCCCCTATCAACTCCTTGTGCATCCACAGCCCACTCCCAGCCGGGGTGAGATGAGCAGAAAAGGCCTTGACCCTGTGTAAGCACTACTCAGCAACAGCTGAAATATCCCTGAATTATCAGCACTGTTTCCAGCATTAATTCAAAACAGCCCCATACCAGCTACTGTGGAGAAAATCAACTCTGCCCCAGTCAAATCCAGCAACAGAAACAGATTAATGTTATCTCCATCTTTGCTAAGAGCTAAGATTTCTTTGAGTTCCTTAGTACCTGTCTCACCCTTTAATTTAGTTAAGGTTGTGTATTGTATCATACTCATGGCTCACAACACACACGAACAGATAATGGTGTTCACAAAGGTGTATTTCTAGTTAAATGTCTCTTTATAAAGGGATATACCCTTGGAGAAGCAGAAAGTGGTGCTTAAGGAAGTGTTTAGTCTATCAATAGACCTTGCACCCAGGCTATATGAAGGATGTTTTATTGATCTTAATGAAGACAGATACTTTCTTTATGTTCATTGGTCACTTGTGCCTTATTCTTTTCCTCCCTGTTCTTTCCCTTTCACCAACATTTCAATGAAATCAGCAGGAAATGTCCTCTACTTACTTAAAAGCTTAATGTACTCAGCTTACTTACAAGCTCCTAGTCAACATATCCCAGCCACTTGAACTAGTGTGGTATTTGCTACTGCAGCTGGATTCTGCTAAATCTATAGGGCCTGGTGGGATTCATCCCTGGGTACTCAAAGGGATGATGTCATTGTGAGGCCTCACTCAATGATTTTTCAATGGTCTTGGGAATCTGGAAAGGTTTCAGTTGTCTGGAAGCTGGAAAATGTTGGCCAAATTTTCAAGAAGAAATAGATGATGACTCTATTAACTACAGATCTGTCAGTCTCTCATCAGTGCCTGGTAAAATTATAGATATTATTACTCTGGGAAGTAATGAAAAACTCCTGAAGGACAATACAGACATCATCAGTCACAGCCAACATGCCTTCCTGAGGGTAATATCCTGCTTGTCAAAGTTAATTTCCTTCTATGACAAGGTAACCCACCTAGTTGATCAAAGGAAGCAAGTTGATACAATCTTTTTGGATTTCAGTAGTTTCTTATATTGTCTTTCACAGAATCCTTTTGGACAAAATGTCAGTCACACAGCTGGATAAACACATCATGTGATGGGTGAGGAACTGGCTCAGGGGTCAGGCACAGGGTTATACTGATCTGGTGACTTGTCTCTAGTGGGGTTCTGCAGGCTCTATCTTCAGCCCCGTGCTCTTCAACATCTTCATAAATGATTGGGACACATGTCTATAAGGTATACTAAGTAAATTTGTTGATTATGTTAAATTGGGAGGAGCTGTTGACTCCATCAGAGATGCCCTACAGAGAGAAATTGATTCTCTAATTGAGAAATTAGAGGGCTCAGCAATCACCATTTGTATAAAGTTTAACGTGGGCAAGTCCCAGATTCAGCACCTGGGATAACCTTGGATGTAAGGACAGACTGAGAAACAAGAGGCTAGAAAGGGCTCTAGAGGTCCTGGCTGATAGCAAGGTGATGATGGTAGTGTGTCCTGGGAGCCAGGAACAGGCACTGGAACAAGCTCCCCAGGAAAGTGGTCACACCCCAAGCCTGTAAGAGTTCAAGAAATAATTGGATAATTCCTTCTGCACATGGTGTGATTTTTGATGTTGGCTTATGCAGGGCTAGGAATTGGACTACATTCTTGTGGGTCCCTAACAACTTAGGATATTCTGTGATGCTCCCCTGTGACCAAGGTGCTGAGGCAGTGCCTATCTAGGAGGTTGTCTGCTACCTTCTGCTGGGCATTTGCACTTAACTCCTCCAGGGCATGTTATGATTCCTTGAGACTTATTAACATGTTTTTTTACTTAACACTGTGATAACACAATTTTATTCTGAAGCGTGCCAGTAGATTGAGAAAAGATAATTTCCATGCAACATTCTGGAAGCTGCCTTCATGATTGCCTTTTAGATATCCTGTCTGTGTCTGGTGCTTCAGAAGATCTAAGAAGTAGGAAGAATTACTGAGGAAACCAGCTTAAGAAGATTTTTTTTTTCCTTTTTCTTTCTTTAAAGTTTTCTTTTATTATTGTAATTGCTATTATAGTTACCACCTTTGAGTCCTGCAGTCCTGGCAGACTCTCAAACCATCAGGTCAGACTTCAGTTCTAGCCTGCAAGTGATGTACTGCTCTCACATTTCTGATCTAGCCAGTGCTGCAACATTAACACAGACAAAAGACATGCGACTGGCAGAGTGAAGGATAAAGATGTAGGTTGTATAAAAGCGGGTTTTTGAAATGCAAAAGTGCAGTTACTTAATGTGGAAAAGCACTTGTGCTCCCAGACTGACACTGTCCCTTTAATATAATGGCTTGGTCTCTCGCTCAGCCCTGGCCAAGTGCCCAACTATCTTAGTTTAAACTTCAGCCAACTAAACAGCAGCAATAAAAGATAAAATATCTATATGCAAGGTAGAGCCATTTACAAGTGGATAGGCTACTTATTTGTAGATTGTTTGATTTTGGTAAAAAATCCATATTTTCCAGTATGACCTACAGGACATATTTTCTACACTGAAATCTTTCTAAATCCACAGTTTGCTTTCTGGATGCCTTCAAAGGTAAGAGACTGTTATTTCCTCTCTAGTTTTAGAGGACTGACTGCACTTACAGTTTCTGTATATATATGTATGTATTTATTTTCTGCTTGATGGACTTGAAAAGAAGATTTAGGAAGGATTTTTACATTTAACATATTTTCTTCATTATTGATGATATTTAAAATTAACTTGTAAATCACAGACTTTTTTGTGTAAATCAGTTTTAATTCAGTATTTAATTTAGTTCAGTATTCTCTAAAAATATGTTGAATTACCCATTTAAATATTCTAATTTTCATTTTATCAGTATATTTTCATTATCATAGAATATTATCTTTATGAAAAATACTGCACAGATTCTGTAACATCCATGTAATATTAATATTTCATTATTAATTACTAATTTCATTAGTAAGCCACAGTTTCTTAGAAGAATAAGTTGTTCATACTGATGCTCCAGACTTTTTGTTAAGAAAGAAAAGGCAGTGTTACACACATTTTCTTCTGTAATAAACAGGTTCAACTATCCATGTGAGCTACAGTTGAGATAGTGCTGGTAACTGTGCTTCAATTACCTACACAGTGACTTTTTATAATTGTTTTCTATATATTTTTCTCTGGAACTATTCTTCCCATGAATATGCATTTAAAGTATTTGTATTTATTTATTTGCTTCTGTTAATGAGGTATTCACAGGTGGCTTTTTACTTTTAACAGGAAGGAAAGGTCTATTTGGGATGAAAGTTATTATGAGGAAAAAATGTTTTTTCTTTTGCTTTATACTTCTGGCTATGATAACAAACCAGATAGTACATGGGCAAAACAGAAAAAAAGGAAAGAATATTTACTCTCCTATGCCAAAAGATGAAGGTAAAACCATTTTCTTAGAATTTCTGATTGACTTTGTTTAATGTATCCACGCATTTTAGCATAATTATGTAGTAATTGATAAATTTAATGTAAATATATAAAATACTATTTATTTTTATTATGAAGGCTAGAAAATACTTTTTGACTACTTGGACATGGATTCCAGTTTGACCAATGATTTTCATTGACATGTATATCTCTTAAGAGAAATTATAGGAGACCTGATTTTTCGTTTGAAATTGCATGTGCATTTTCTATACAAAATCTGCTAAAATACTAAAACATATCAAAACCCTAACTTGACAGTTTTCATTAGAATTCCTTGGATTTTTACAGTGAAATTTATTGTTAGAATTTTTACTGAGAAGAGAGAGGAATCTTTGGAAAAAATTTTTTTTCTGAGAATTATCTGAAATCTGTTGTGCAGGTATTCTCATCATTCATAGATTTCACTTTCTTGTTCCCTTACAGGTGATATGTGTCTTGTTGATATAGTCTTTATCTTGGACAGTTCAGAAAGTGCCAAAAATCGGTTGTTTGATTTACAGAAGAATTTTGTTCAAAACATAACTGACAGCATTTTCCAGATGAAGCCAGTTAAGTCTCACATGTATAATGTCAAACTAGCAAGTATGCAGTTCAGCAGCACAGTTAGCATTGATCATCCCTTTACAGCCTGGAAAAATGTCCAGAATTTTAAGGAAAAAATCAGCTCTCTGGGCTTTATTGGCCATGGCACTTATTCCTATTATGCAGTTTCAAATGCCACTCAGCTGTTTAAAACTGAAAGTCGTAAGACAAGTGTGAAAGTGGCTTTTTTGATGACTGATGGTGTGGATCATCCAAACAGCCCTAATGTCCAAGGGATAGCCACAACTGCTAGAAGTATTGGAATACATTTCATTACCATTGGCCTTTCTAAGAAAACAGTCCAAGAAGAAAAATTGCGCTCGATATCTGGTGATTCATCCTCTAAACACGTTCTATGCCTGGATGATCAGAACCTGGTAGTTGATGTAGCATTGCAACTGGTAAGTTGTCCTGATGTTAATATTGTCGTGTGTCTATCCTTGGCAGATTTCATCTAATTTTGATTAGGTAAGCCCTGAAGATAGTGCAGGGTTTTGTGGTTTCTTCTCTGCTACAGCAGGAGTCAGGGCAGATGGAGCTTCCTTCTCTCAGGCACTCTTCAAGGAGTTGTGTGTTTGGACAATATAGCTCAGCTGTCCTGATCACATTTCCCAGCACACAGAGTTGTCTCTGAGTATATGAAAATACTTTAGACAGTAGCTTGATCTCATGCATAATCACTGAATCCTTCCCCTATGTATTGTTTGTAGGGCCTTTTAAAGGAAGTCTCTGATTAGGAAGTCTTTTCATAGTCCCTGTTGTTAGCACTGTGCCTTGCTTAGCTATGCTGTTAATTCTCATGTGTTGTCTGATCACTGAGTTTCACATGGAATAGCCCTCTCTTCCTACCAAGAACTCCTTTCTGTATGAGTAATTCCGCAGACTGGTTCTTGCTCGTTTGAGGAAGGAATGAAGGATGAGGGTATTTACCCACTCTACCATTCTTCTTGGATTCTATAAACTAAAGAGGAAGACTTAATACTCTGTTAAATTAAATAATATCTATATGAAAATATTATTTTTCTTTTCTTTTCAGGAATCCTTGTTACAGAAGCAGGTAGGGTTTTTGACCTTTGTGTGTGATTGCTCTTATTGACACTGGACTTCCCAAAGTCTGCTTCTTCTATAATGCAACAATACTTGAGAATTAATCAATCTTCCATCTCTTGTTAAATTTTCCAACCATGATTACTTTTATTTTAACTTTTCTGAATTTCTTCTGTCCTTTCTCCTGAGAAATCTACAATGTTAGCTCATTAGTGAGTAGTATCAATACTAAGACATAAAGAATTCTTCTTACAAGAGTGGAATAGGTCTAATTAAGATATGCAAATTCATTTGTGGTCTCATTAGAAAACAATAACAATGTTAAAATGGTTCAAAATTTGTGTAAGGTTTCCCAGTACTGTGTACTATGTATATACTATGTTAAATATTTGTAATTATTACAGTGACTACAGTCTCTACAGTAAGAGGGTTTTTTTTGTTATAAATAAATCAAGTAACTAACACATTTTGGTTGCTCTGCATGGAAGTTTAATGTTGATTTTATGAGAAATAAATATATTGGAACATCATTTATTTCCTATGATTCCATTATTATGTTATCTGTGGCTAGGCAAAACCATATTTTTTTCTTTATAAATTTGAAGTAATATATTTGAAAAACATTCTCCTTTATCTATTAACCCTGTAGTGTGTGCGGAAGATCTGCGAGTGTGGAAAGGGACTAAAAGGAGACAAAGGTGATTCAGTAAGTATGCATTTATATGAGTAGGCTCAAGAATTTGACTTTTAATGAAGATCAATTCTGCAGAGTACTTTAATTGGTTACTATGTGAACTATGTACAAAACAAGACATTAGCTGTGCCTCTACTGCAAAAAGATTGATTTATTGTAGCATGTCATGTTGGCAGTGAAAGGCCACTGTTGAAAGAGCTCAGAAAAAAAATCTATCCATAGTCAGATACTACCCTGAAAATATATTTCTATTATTGAGTAATGAAACACTGTGGATAAATAGATGATTCTGGAGCCCAAATAAAAAAGTTATTCTTGAATCTTGCAATGGAAAAGGAAAGGTCCATTAGACAAAGGTTTTCGCTCCCCACCAAATTCTGTTTTTGTAAGGGGTAAAGTTTCAAAAGTCTAAGGGTAATGGATATATGAGGAAAGGTCTAAAACTCTGCCTCCAACACTCTTTTCTCTTGTGACACTTCAGCACATATTCCTTGGCTCTAGTGAGGAACAGAAAAGTGTGAGTTCGGACAGTGGGTGACCTCTCTGACCATTTTTCTGTCTTTAATAGTTCCCCCAGAGACAAGCAAGGTACATTCAGATGTTTTTGTCTTTCCCCAAAGACTCTAATAGGTCAACCATACTGTTAGCAGCTTATGACACCAGGACCCATCATTCAATCCTTGTGGATAATGTGCATCTGGATAATGTGTACTAGAACCTCTGTTTGCAATTTAAAATTTTATGTCCGAGAACTTTTAAGTTATTTTATCCAAAATTATTAGATGTAGCCTGTTATACAGATACATATACACCAAAAGTTCTAGTCCCCATCATCATGATCCTCCAAAGAGTAATAAAAAATGGTGCAGTACTTTTTTCCTTAGGTCTGCTGAACATTGACCCTAAACTGTTCTGTACAGTTTATTTTCTAAGCAGAGGAGATGAGACAGTGGTGATTAATTGAGAAATAGAAAGGAGGAACTGTATTTATTTTCTGTAATGGCTTCCTGAGTAGATTTTTCAGGTGCTCTGTAGAAAATTTATTTATCATTGAGTCTTGTTTAAAAAAAATTTGTAGATACCTTATAACACCAGAGTGAGTTTAGCTAAATGAATATCGTGTCACATGTACAATATTTGAATCAGTGGGCGTTTCTACCAAAGCTGATTCCAGAATGATTTTGGACTAAAATATAGACTTAGATAAGCTGGAGAATTTTATTCTCATAATGATAATAACATTTTCCTGCTTTGTTTCAGGGCAGTGCTGGCAGCAAAGGGGAGAAAGGTGACCCAGGACCAAAAGGAAACAAGGTAATGTGAATTTAAAAGAAGTAAATCAAATTTCTATCCAGTTATTCAAACCATAGATGAATACAGCAAAGAAAAAGTATGTAAAAATAAGTTCTAAATCTTGAGGTTTGCTAGTTTATAGTTAGCTGCTTTAGAAGTGTGAGATAAGAATTTAGAACTAAACTGCTATCAAGTAACACTGCCTATCATACTGGTTTTTCTGACAGCAGAGGTCTCTGAATATAGCTGAAGGCTCTTTAGGTTCCACAGAGCTTTCTAATAGTACACAGATTTCTTGATCAGAGTGCTTCACTCTAATAACTAAGATTTCAGTCATCTAATGACAATAGTTGAGTTTTCTATGTTAATGATCAGGAAATGTGTATCCTTGATTGTGGAAGGAGGGAGTGTGAATGTTAGTAAACAGGAACAAACAGTTCTGCTTGTTTAACAGAATTATTGGTTTTAGTACATTAAGGATATATGAAAGTGCAAAACATATTTCAGTTGTATTCCTTTGCTTCCAATAGGGTGATGCTCAAAAAGGAGATCATGGAGAGAAAGGTGAAGAGGTATGTGAGTACTACAGTGCTAACTCATATTTTGTCTTCTCAAATTTTTCGAACTAAAAATGTTATTTTCATTTTTTGTGTGTCTACTTTACTCAATTAAAGCACTTAGACTAAACCAGGCTGTAGCACTACCCTACAGCCTGGTTTGCAGAAGCTTGTCTACTGAGAGAAACAGTCTAACCATGTGCTTAAATACAGAGAGGAAATGCTACTGGGAGCTTCTGGAGCTGTGTGATTTTGAATTGACTTGCATTAGACTTATCCCAAAGACAGACCTGATAAAAACACTACATAGTCCTTTGGTGGCTTCTAACAACTGATAATTCTCAGGATTCCTGTTGATTCACTGGAGAAAGATTAACACTACATCCTGTATAACAGTAACTCAGTTTAAAAGTCCCATTTAAATGGCAGCAGGTATCTACTAGGAGGCTGGCAAGCTAAGTGGCATATTTGCAGATAATATATGAGTAAAAAATCCACATCTAGATTTGAAGAGAATTATATGTTAAACAATTTCAGAAAGATATTTTATTGTTGTGAATAGTAAAACTTCTGAAACATAGTTTCAGAACACAGTTTTACTGGGTGAAGGATTGGGGATTTTTCTACTTAAATTAGCAGTATGTTAGGCCTTTGCTTCATCTTTTATGACTTTTTCCTATTTTCAATTTTTGAATAGGGAGCTCCTGGCTACAAGGGAGACAAGGTAAGTTTTTTGTAGAATATAAGTAGTCTGAAAATAAATTGTCACTTGCTGACAGTGTATGTGAAAGAATGGAAAAAAGAGCTTGTCTTGTCTATTTGTCATGAAAGCTTCTAATGCAAACCCTAGAAAAAAATTCAAAATTTGTGCAAATGCTTACAGACTGCATTGCTGGAAATAAAACAAAAACCCCACACAATCAGAGAATGTAATCTAAATATAAAAAAAAGAAAAGCGTCAATGAACAGAAATACAGTTTTTGGAAGGAAAAGAAGTGGGGTTTGAATAAGAAGTTAACTAGAAAGAAAGGAAATGTTCACTACAAAAACAATGTGAAATCATTAGCTTTTGAAAACTTACCAAAAGGAGGCTTACTTTTAACTTATTTATAACTTACAAAGGTTAATGCTTGATCAAGAAAATTTTCAACATAGTCTCTCCAAGAAAATAAACAAACTATACATTTCAGTGACTTGCAGGATTCTAGAGATGAATTGCAAAGTGGACCATCATAGAAATGAAACAGAGATGATCCCATTTTTACTTTTCTTGGTTTTGACACTACATTGTTAATAAAAGCAGTGCCTCTATGAACCTTTGTATTCATTAGTAAAATGTTTCAATCAATTTTGTGGTAAGTTTTTATGAAAATGGGAATAGCAGACTCATAGGTCTACTTTTCATGTGTCTATCGATATGTTAAATCATCACTGAAACACTTAATTCTTTCTTCATTCCATATGTGCCATCTCACAGTTGTTACTCAGGAAAATCTCAGGCATCACAGTAATGAACAGAGCATGGAAAGAATCTCTGGAGACAGTGCAGTGAAGCGGAAAACTGCTGCAAAACTTATTCATTATAAAATGTATTATCCTCTGATATAAGTTGGATGTTTTGCAATTATTTTCAGGAATATCTTGAGTAGAGAAATCTTATCTTCTACAGACCATATACAATGATGCCACTTCCAGGTCCTCAGAGTCAACTAAACCTCTTGTGCTACTGCTTGCAGAGTCTTTAATGCATGTAATGTAATCAAATCATCTTGTTTAGCTGTGAACCTTTTGATTTCTTATAAAGGGTGAAAGAGGAGAATGTGGACCTCCAGGAACAAAAGGCGAAATAGTAAGTATAATTTTTATTTGAAGTGTTTTGTGTTGATGAAGATACTAGAAAATCATGTAACATATTCATAAATACAGTCTGAAAATATTATTGTAAATTTGGAATATCTTATAATTCCCTAGTGGTATAGATACATTCATAGTAGAAGTATGATTTGTGGAAACTGAACCCACAGTTCACCACATAATTTTTTTCCATTTTGCATAAGAAATGCAAATCCTCACCTAAAATAAAAGCTGCCCTGACCAATGCCAAGCCTTGCTTACACAGGACTGAGCGTCTTACAGAGAGCACCCCATTTATTTCCTTAGAAGTTTAATTTCAATTTGTGAGTATAGTTATATATAGTTATATTGCAATCAAAGCAGTTTCCTATCCGACATGAAAAACTTTGATGAGCCCATCTGTGCTGGTATGAATTCACACTTCTCTCCAGTGTGTTAACCTGGAGTGCAGAAGTGTTGCAAGTGAATACAGATTTTTACCTGGTTTATTTATATTCTGAAAGATGGAAGGATCATGTATTGCCAAGTGAGATAATTATGTATCTTGAGTTCATACAGGCAAGTTTGTATGAGTCATGAAAACCGCTGATTTATAGTTAGAACTGCTAAGAACTGCCAATTAGATTACACTTATTGTTCTATTAAACCAGATTTCTTCTGTTTTACCACCCATGTTATGCTTACCTTTATCAAAGACCACCTTGAAAAGTTTTTGTTTTCCTAGAAGCTGCTATTTTATGATTAATTTCAGGCAGGAATTAATAAATATTAATTCCAGAAGTATTTATTGCAAAGAAAAAAGGGCATTATACAATAATAAAAATCTAAAGGCTGAGAATATCTTGTGGGATACTGTGGTTCAAAATGGCAGCAAATTTCAGACTTCAGTGAGTCAGAAAAGTCAAAAATACCAGTTGAAAAGAAGAGAGCTGCATCTATCAGGAATAAAGAAAGATCATACCTTCTTTATCCAGGCATGTGAGAAATAGCATGGTGTTATGTGAAATGTCTACTAAGCTAAAAGGAAGCTGTTCAGAAGCTGGCAAAGAATCAAAGCAGCCAAGAAATCTGGATATAGGAAACATGCCAGGGCTGCCAGAAATCTGCTTTCTTCATTTCTGTTGAGGACAGTGATGAAAACAACTTTGTCCTCTGCAGGGGATCAGTCAGTTCCAGAATTCCCACCTTCACATTCACAAATCCTGAAGACAGAACAAAATTATGGCTTTATTTTTAAAGAAAGCATTCTAGGCTAGACAAAATCAGACACAGAACATGTATAGCCAAATATATGAGAAGCAAATCCAGTATTCTGAGGTCAATCTTTAACTGGGGTGATGGATACTGAAGCATGACTGGGAGTCCAATTTGAAAACGTTGCATTTATCCACTGCCACTTTCTCATCTCACTAATCAGACTGAATCCAGTAGTTTTGGTGCGGTGTATCAGAGCTTTTCCAAATGCTGTTCAAGCTGGAAATTCAGACAATTCCTGTTTGGCTTTGAAATCAGAACTGGCTCAAGTCATACATTTGTATGCTACCAAAAGTAGTCATCATTGCATCAGCATATCACTGTACCATCCATTGCTTATGTAGTTGGGCTGGATGTGGGCTGGAACTGAGAGGGTTATCTCTCTCTCTGGTGGCTGATGCTTGGCCTGGGAGCCAATGCCAGGGAGCAGAGAATTGTTTATAATTTCTGACTCTGAATCTCTGGGGGGGCAGTCAGTGGAGTGTCTGCACAGGTATCACTGATAAATTTGTCAAGGTTATTAGAAGTTCAAAATGTGACACATATCTTGAAAAATGCAGCAGTCTGCCAGTGCCTCTGCCTGTAGAGATGTTACTAATTAAAAGGGAAGTAAGAGAAATATAAAACCAGTATTTTTTCTCAAAACTATTTTACTTTAGAAATAATTTATAACAAGTATTGACTCAAGTGGAAGTGAAATATGCACTATGATGATTAAACAAAAAACAGTGAAGCAGAAAGATGTTTGAATAATCTGCAGTGGTGGTGACTGGTAAGAACTCATTAAATGTAGAAATCACAGCTAGTGGAATAAAAAAACATGGCATTTTAATTTTTTTTTTTAATTTTTCAGATGTATTTTTAATGGATTCTGTGAACTATTAGTATGATTCTGTCAGGCTCCTGATTAGCAGTTTGAGTTAGTGAGACAAAGTTACCTGAAGTTGTTCTGGTATAGACACTGCAGCATTTTTATTAAGGATTCTGTATATAATATGCTTCTAGGAATTACATTTAAAAACCTGTTGCAAATAAGAACTTCTTAATCAAATAGCTAAGATGTTAAGTAGACATTCATTATGCTTCTGGTATATGAAAATTGTTTTAACCAAATATTGAGGGTGGAATGTAACAGGCAGTTACTGAATACCGTATGAGCACAGTAGTACTCTGGTGAGAGAATAAAGTCTCTAGAAAATGCTTGGACAGATATTTGAGCCATTACATGTGCATGTCAAGTGCTTGATATTTGAAAGCAGATTGAAATTTCCTTTTAATCTGATAATTGAATCTAATTTTTTCTCAGGGTTTGCAGGGCTCTGTGGGCCCTACAGGACCTCGGGGACCTCAGGTAAGGGAACGAAAAGCTACCAAATAAAAAGATGATATTCTTTAAGTTTCTTCTGCATGCAGCATGTCAATTCTGTGAAAAACAGCCATGCTTTTCTGTTGTCACTGGTTTTTGCATATTAACAATATTCAATGTTTTGGGCACTTCACAGAGCATGATGCAGAAAATTCTCGTTCTGTAGGGCTTAGAATTGTGCTATATTATACTGTGCCCCATTCAGGGGAAATAAAACCCCAAAATTTATACATGTCTTTGACTTTTTTGTAGGGTATCAGGGGAGATCCAGGTCAGCAAGGCCCAAAAGGCATTCAAGGAAACAAGGTAAGATGTAGTTGTATATGTGTAGTTAAATATGTTATTTATATAGGGAGAGAGCATGCAGAAACTCTGTAGAACCTTTATACTTCACCATCCTTTTTTGTCAGTAGGTTTTTTATTAGTGATGTTATTTGCACAGTAATAATGTCCCCACCTGGGTCGTGCACTACTGTGTGATGAAGGCTTGATATTGTTGTCACATGCACCCACTTTCTTATCTGGTCTCCAAGAATATTTTTAGGGCCACAACTGGATGCAACCAAGGACCTCCCTAGAGCCACAGCAGTTATGTCAGAATTTCAATCACCTGAATATGTGTCTTGACTTTTGCCATCACTTGGGAAGCTTTTTTTCTAGAATATTTTTGCCTACAATGCCTGTGTTTAAAGATTTTAAGTATTTCTAGATGAAGGTTAAAACATTCAGTCTGAGTAGTTATAATAATTTTTAATTGCCTGTGTACTGTAAAAACTCAGGACAACTTTGAAATTGGCTGGGGTATGAGATTTTATAACAGTTAATGCCTTAGTGTTACCTAAAAGAGATAATTTAGAGTTAATGTCTACACCTTGTCAAGCAAAATCAGTTGGATAAAATGTCCAGTTCATTTAGGAAGTCTTCTGGTTTGCAAAACTTTGGGAAATTTCTTTACGTGAATGAGCCTATCTTGCCCATTGGAGAGTTATTAACATCAGTGTTCGGTACAGAAAGATCTTTCATTTATCAGTTTGATACAATGACTTTCTACGACAGGATCATTGATAGCCTGGCTAACAATCTAAGTCATGCAAGACAAATTCATACAAAGCTGCTTTGTAAAAGATGTACCATAAAAACACTTGTGTTTTGTTTCTTAGGCAACAATTTAATTAGAAAATTCACAGAAATAAATCTAGATTTGGGGAATGTTTATTATAAAATTTTGGAATATTGCCATCCATCATGGTTTTCCTCTTCCTGACAAATGGTTTTTCATAGTCTCATTTCTTATTCTTCTCAACAAAATGCTTGATCGGGAAAGCTGCTGCAGAGTACTTGAGAAGTGGAAAAAGAAATAGGATGATGAGTTTGAAAGAAGCTATTCATACATGTGGTGGAAAAATCATGTCTCTTTAACTTCAGCACAGCAAATGACTTTTTTTTTATGTCATTTCACACTGATGAGCCCAAGACAGTAGAACCAGATATTTCTATTATATACAAAACCATATTTGTTGAATCTTGTACGCCCTCCTGTCAGTCTTTTCACGTATTTTCATGGCTGTAAAGTACATACATCTTTCTCTAGAATCCATCTACATGAATACGATATTTATGGTCTGTTGTTAGGCTTTAGCTGCAGATTTTCAGGAAGAATAAAGAAACTTCCTTCTTTTATCAACTTTCAACTCCCCAGCCTGCTGTTTGAAGTCTATAGTAAAGATGTTTCCATGCTCAAAGATTCATAATAATAAAAATGCTGCCAGAAAAGTTTAGCTAATCCACTTAGATAATTATACTTAAAGAGTATAGAAGAAACATATGTATGTCTAAGGGTTATCTCTTGTCCATACCTAAGCTAAATCTAGCCTTTGGCATTTTGGAGCTTATTTGAGATGAGTGAAAAATTTTTTAATGATCAGTACAGATAGTCAGTGGTTGTTCTCAGATTAATAAATAGCCATTCAGCTAGTAAAGGTCAAGGCCTTTTTTGGTTCAGACACGTAACAGTCTTTTCAATATCTTTTGTCCTCACAGAAGGATTATTAAATTGCTCTTTTAAAATTAGTTTTCATGACACATAATGCAGTATCTCTGAAAAGTGGCAGTTATTTTGTAATAGCCTTGGATAAAATAAATAAGTCTATTCTTAGTGCAATTCCTTGGCCTTTCCATTCTAATACTTTCTGCTTTTTGAATTGAACTGGTGACTTCACCTTGGTGGCATTGGTACCGGTGTGACATAACACAGAACACTGCTGCTGAACTTTTATTCTTTGTTACTGGGCCATGTTGAAGTTTCAAAGAGTAGATTCAGTTCCTCAAAATACAAACTCCAGATCAAGCTCAGCCTACAGATAGTTTGTGTCTCAGTTTTGGAGTGTACAGTCCATTTACATATCTGGTTGGATCAGTGCATCCCACACCTCTGTAATGCAGGTTATGGGTACAGACACATCATCTCACTTTGCAATGCCAGGGGGCAGGAAATTACTTAAAGGAACTTTTCATTCTTTACTTCTATTATTCATATGCATTTTCTTAATCTCAAGATGCTGGCTAATCTCTCAATGTGAAGTTTCACTGACTGCACAATACTTTTGTTTTCTAATGTTTCTAATGATACTGATTTATTGTGTTGCCAGTAGTGAGTTGAAGCTCTCTAAGTCCCAGTGCCTATGGGACTGTGAGCAGCTTTCAGCTTACAGAAGTTCAGCCAACGTGTTTCCATGTAGACATGAAAGTTTAGGAGCTGAATCACATCCTTAACTTCTTAGTCTTTGTAATGCACTTCATAATCGGTCCTTATACAATATACAAGTGAATTTCATCACTCTCCTTCCACCCTCCTTTCAAACCATGTGTGAATATATTGAATGACCTGTATCCTGCCCAGAAGGCAGCTCAGTGTGGCATTAACCAAACCATCTATCATAATGCAGATTTTTAAGATTTTTTCACTTATTTGCAATTCTGCGAAGTTCTAACATCTCAAAAGAAGTTAAATAATCTGATTACCATATATATAAACCTTCTCCATAAAGAGGCCAGGGCATTTAAAATTAGACATTTGAGCTCCATTTTTATTTTAAAAACCATAAAAGGATGATGATGATGATGATGATGATGATGATGTTGATGATGATTACTGTTATTACTAATTTACCTGACTAAATATACTTCCATTTAACCAAATACTAAACTGTTCACAGTTAACATGTTAGCAGTAAACTTACAATCATTACATACAACACAGTATTTAATGACTTTAAGAGAAAAACATTAGAGGGTTACAGGGCACTTCACTCAGAGTTAGGTGTTGGGAACTGTCAATTTTCACTGTATATCTCTTGTCTCTGAACTAGACAACTTCGTCCTGTTTCCAGAGTAAATCCTGAGCAAAGAACAAAGATTCTTCTGCTTGTTTCCTGGTTTCCTGACTTTCTATTGTCCACTGACAAGTTTCATACAAAGAAGTTAAATTTATCAAAGAAAAGTGTTTTTAAAGCCAAATTCTATGCTATTTTGTCTGCTTCACTAACTTGAAATACCAAAAGAAATACTATTCCCACCTATACTTTATATTTTCTTAGACATTTGCTTCACTTTGAGGCAACCTTCAACCTTGTTAGCCATCACATATTATCTATATTTTAACATATAATAAAAACTTGAATCAAAGAGTACCTCATTCAGCTATAAAACTTAAAGAATTTAAATTTCAGAACAAAAATTTATAACCCTGGGTCTAGGGTAGAGACAGTCAACTCTTGTCATACTGCAGCTTATAGGATCAAGGAACTCAGATTTTGTATTCCTTGTCTCACTAAGAATTTAAGGGTGTACCATGATATGACTTTGCTGAATGATTCAACAATTTCCAAAACAGAGAAGACACTACCTCACTTAGTAAAATACTAAAAGTACAAGAAAAAGAAAGTTGGCAAAGAGAAAAGACATGCCACACTTGGTTCTGCTCTGTAAATGTAATTTAGTCTGTAATAAGCAGTAATGACCATAAACGTTATCCAGAGAGAATCCCATCTATTGTCTGACTTTCCCAGTGACCTGCTTTCTGTCATTTTCGTACTTAGGTTCTACATATCTCTTAACTCACTTGGTTATTACAATTAAAAAGCATCTTCATGTCTTTTGCTGGACTTACCAACACACTGTGTTGTATTCTCATTAGAAGACAGCTTTGCCCTTCAATAGCTACAACCTTGGAAAAAACCAACATTTTAACACAAAAGGACTTAATTCATCTTGGTTTCCTTCATTTTTCCAGGGAGGCAGCATAATCAGCATGATTTTTGTGAAAACAGATTTATAGTAATGAATATAACATTATTTCAAAGCTAAATTGGGGTCCTCTAGTATTCTTAGTGTTGGATAAAAAAATTATTTTTATAATTGTTTAAAGACATGCATATATCTATTGATTTACTCAGACTAGTTGTCATTATTTTGTCTGTTTTAATTTATTTTCAGGTGCTTAACTAATATTTATTTTTGAAAGCCCAAACCAACAACAGTGCATTCAATGCTATAGCACCAGTAAGGTTCCATAAGAGTATATTCAAGTTAATTTTTGAAAATGTGTTTTTTAGTGAGGACAATAATAGTGACTATTCACAAATTTCAGTGAATAATTTATAAACTGAATTATATGGTTACAGGATATAAAATTGTGGCATGAAATCTGGGTATGACCTGTGTTCCGCTCATAAAAAAGTGATGAGCAGGAAGTACGTATAGATATAGTTTCAGAATTGACATTAGTTTTATTTATACTCTTGAACCAGCTGCTAGATATAAAGTGCATGTTTCTAGAAATCACAATATATTCATGAAAAGGCTGAGAATGACATTCTTAAAATCTACTGCTGTAATAAGGAGCTTCTCTGGAAAATTTGATTTGTGTAGTAAGATTTTCAATTAAAGGCTAAAGTTTTATGAACAGACATATATTCAAACTTCTAAGGAAAAGGTTAAGTTTGAATGTGGATATTCAAAGAAGTTATTCCCATACAATCATCCTGGGACAATTCTGAAAAAAATCCATCATTACATATTTTCCTGAATACATTTCCCAGAACAAACTGCTAAGGGATCTGCTTCTTCTCTGATGACATATGAATTCTTTCCTCACTTATGTGGCAAGCTACTTTCCCAGGAGACTGAAAAAATCCAATTTTCCTATGAACAAGTTTAGTTCTTAGATATTTCAGCTAACTTAGAAATACAAAATATCAACAATATCTGTTAAAATATCTAATTCTATTTGCATTGTTGTTGCCAATGTTTACTTTAAAGATAAAATCATTAAATTTGAAAGATTTTTTTTTTTTTAACAGTAGCTTAATCATGATCAGATTGTAGACTGAAATACAGAGTGTTTCTGTTCCTTACAGTATATATGGGCTTTCTGAAAAGGAAAATTTTTATCTTGGCACTAACTTGAACCTCATCCTAGCATAATGAACAATAGTTTGGGGGGGGGGGGGGGGGGGG